AATCATAAGACATGGCGACCAACAATTCAAAAGGACCCTGACCGATCCTACCAATGATCTGCCACGGTCGATCTGGTTGAGTGGAAGCTACATCAACCAACGCATGCTCAACAACCACGTGGTCTTATTTTCAAGGCACTTGTGACATCATCTCTACTGGTTGATGAAATGTCTATAACTAAATTACCCAGCTCGGTGAACAAAGCAAAGGTCATCGTTACACGCCACTGATAACAACGCGGATTTTCTAAATCAAAACTCATGCACGTAATATGCAGCGTGATGTTCATCATCATCATCATCATCATCATCATCATCATCATCATCATCATCATCATCATCATCATCATCATCATCATCATCGACAGCATGATATCAGTGTTCAACACCGATGCTTCACTGCCGTACAACCATGATTTATTTGAAAGCCTCAATGTAAGCATCTCCAACAACACGAGCGTCAGTGTTCGTTTAGATTACCCAAACTCATCCTTATTAAATGTCTACTCAGCCAATATACTTCGAAAATGTTCTGTGCCGGGTAAATAGAAAGAGAACAGGCAAATAGTTCATCGAGTTTTAATCGGAGTACTAGAGATTTGTCGCTTAGTCCTCTGGTGTTTGTATTATCCATCCAGCTGATGGCTGAATTTAGTATGCAAACTACAAGTCGGCTGGTACGGCCATTTATGTAGTGTATACTAGCTTGTCTTACTCAACACACATACATTATCATAGTTTTATAGTCTTGGCGCTATTCGCCCGATGTGATGAATGTCGCTGTGCTTCTCCAAGGGGTCTGTCAGCGGTGCAAGCCCACTCCACTAGAAAGCATATTTGAAAATCCAGCGAACATCAGCACCATGTAATTACCCCGGGCAAATGACCCGAGCATGGAGAACCGCCGAACAAACCGACTTAAGACGGCGTCATCATTGGTATTTTCTTTATCTAACCAGTGATTTACCGCATAGAGATGAGAGTAGTGTGAAATTTCCACGCGTCCTGAATCACTTCTACTCTAGTGGCGCCCATTATGTGGTTTTCTCTCTATTCGGAATGTAATGAAAGTGAGAAAAAACACGTCTGCAAAGGAGTATATGAAAGAGTTGGTTTATGGCATTATGTACTGCATGGATCCGGATAACACCCCATACCAGAATATCACAATAAATCAGTTGATGTTGACTGCAGTGCTACAGAGCCGGAATCCTCAAAGGTTTATTACGCTAATTGGATCCACAAAGTGTTTGTTTGGGGAAATATTTTTGTCTTGAAGTGATGTCACGTACAATTGTTTTTGCTTTGTTTGAAAATAGAACTGAGGGTACGGAATTTTACAGCTGATAAATCATTGCGGTTTCTGTGTAAATTACAGCACTCCCAAGAAATCGGTTCGAACTAAATTATTGAAAAAGCGATTAAAACGCTTATAATAATTTGCCTCCTTTCTGATATAATCCACGTAATCTGCTCAAATGTTCTTGTTATTTGCGGTCGGACCCATTTAATTTGGATGATATAGTGATAATGATTTATTAGTAACTTTTCTGCAAATTTTGTAACGAAGAGGCATGTACCTAGAGAAGAGTTAAAAAAATTGATAGATGTGTTGAACGTATCCATGTTCTGGAAAGAACTCAGGTTTTGGAATAAACTCCAATTTGTCAGTTTTGTCCATGTTTAAGGAAAAATTATGGCGAACTTAAATGGTTTCATTGAGATGTACTCGGCTAGTCTGAATCAACCCTGCGTCATATACACACGCTGGAGTTCTCATAAGCAGTTTAACCACAGCCCTGATCTATAACAAAAAGTGGCAACAGAATGTCCGCTAAAAATACTGACTTCGACACATCCAGAGTATGGGAGCACCTTTTCGGTGCCTAGCTGTCATGCCACCCGAGGGAAGCACGAGAGGTAAGATACTGTCAGATTGCCCCGACCTAGAAAGAGGAATTCGAGAGGCAGAGGTCCGATTCGAACCGGTAAGGAAATTCGCGCTCTCTCTACTGAGCCATCTTGTACTCTATGAGAAACAACAAGTTCTATCTACGAAAATACCATCTTTGTATTCACGCAAGAAACCCAAGCATTTACTCCAAAATATAATGTCACGTGGATTGGCATTACCTCGTCATTTATAAGAGTTCTGTAAGTAATGTCAGGCAACGCGAAGTTCGTTCAGACAGTATTGTCTGAATGCCAAGTGTTTGGTTACAAGAGTTTTCCTCACAAAATTATTAGCTGGCCATGGCAAGTTTTTGTTTATTTTTTTGTGTACGACAGCCAAAGGTTGATATCTTACAACCACTATTTGACAAGCAGACAAAATGCAGTGCCAGCCAATTCTGAGTTCATTCATTCACTGTTGAGAGCATTCTCCATTATCAACTGCCCCGCACCATGACATGTCCCAAAGATTAGGCGGAAAGCGATTTTTTCAAGTTGTTTATCGCTTTTCTCGCTAGAAAACGCTCTCATGGAGGCTACATCATTCAGAATGTTTGGCCCCTTTGGGATTCTATGATGACGGTTAACTGATGACATATTCACTAGACCCTTGGAATAAAGCATCATACAGTTCAACACAAGTGGTGACCAATTTCCGCGAAATGTCCATTTCTTCGTATCAGGTATGGTATTAGCATACTTTTGTTTTGTCAGTAGCAATATTAGATGAGCAAATAGAGTTAAACCGCAGCTTGCTGATTTTTAATCCACACCAAAAGCGGAACGCAGACATTTGAAGCTACCATCTCCTATCCGATCCCGCTGCATATGATACTACATTCGGTGAGACGCCGATTTCACTAGACGGGTGGGGAATTACAAGTTATCCAGCAACATCGGACGCGCAGGCAGATTTTCTGTCCTACTTCCCCTTTGACATGATTCATAACTTCCAAAGAGCGAGAACCTTCATCAACCAACTGCAAATAGTCAGTTTGAACGAGGACTATAGTATCACCTGCGACTGCATTTTCACTAAACCTCTGCGCAATACCAAGAGAAGAACGCTTATTGGGGTTTCGCCATCCTTTTAGAAGAGTATGCAAGAGACGTATTCTCATTTAAGGCGAAGCAAACAGAAGCGGCCGACGCGTCGCGCAGATACGATTGAATAACATCCTCCGATTCCTCCAGTAGTTTCCGAAAACCTCTGTTCATCAACTTAGAACCTAAATGATCTTTCGACTTGTTCGAAGTTTGAACAGTAAAATGACACAATAATCATGCTCAAATAAAACTGACTTTGCTTGGTAATCGACAATGGAGTGGAAAGATTTGATACCTTCGGAAGAAACCAAGATGTTCCCTTCTTTGCTGGCTTAGCATGAGGTCGAGGCAACAACTATCAACTTAATAGTAATTGTTTGCACATCACGTTCCGCAAAAAAATTCGAACCCTTGCTTTTGCTTTCAGTGGTCTTCTAACTAGATATCCGCACTGAGGCATACATTTATTTTCCAGCCTACTTTTCTCTCTGGAATTTTCTTTGTGTAATACCGCAGACAACCTACGTAAGCCACCCGGTCGCTTCTTTGTTTACTATAGGCTATGAGCCTCTCGCTATTCTTAACCCTTTTTTTCTTCCAGTAAACGTCTGATTACCTTAACTCCTGTTCTAAATTTTGCTATGTGGTTTCAAAACACAGACACTCGCAAAGATGGCCGGCGAGATTGACCAGCAGATTTGTTGCTCTTCGTCAAAACGAAGTTTTGGTGTTTGGTGAAATTTTGCATATAGGTCGTTCTTAAAAACTTAGTCGATGCTATCGTATAGACATAATGCACCACTCATAAGGTTGATGAGCGAGAGATTCAGATGGGTTTAAGGTGAATGTTTCGTTGAAATTAAACTGGTACACAAATGAGTCCATTCGTTATTTGATGCTAGTTTAAATGAGTGCTGGGTTATCATTTGGGTTGTAGGATCAAGTTTTAATATGATAATACTTTCGGAGTGTTTACAAGCTAACCACCGAGTTCCGCAAACGGAGTAACGGCTGCCTGTCCAGCCTCCAGCAAACGCACTAAGGCTAAAAGTGTTTCGACACTTTGTCACTTTTCCAGGAAGTTTGCATCTCTTGGATTTTACGGAGCATGACGTTCCAGGTATACTACCTTGACAGTTTCTAGTGCGTTAGTTCTAAGGAAGGACAACCGATGGTTTGAGACTTGGTTTGGGACTAAGGAACGACATGAGTGTGCCTCCCGACTTCATCCGTACCCGTCAGCTCCCTAGGTCCTCAATGGGATCCTTTGATGATGAGCGGTAAAACGCTTGTAATGTTCTAACTCCCTCCAATTTACCCAATTTAATCTTGCTAAATGCCTAAAACGGTGACCCTAATCGTGCATAACTTCTCCACAGTTTTGCAAACAGGCTGTTGTGACGGAAATGTGATTCTTTAATTTCAAAAATGTTTTAGTCGCCTAGACACAAGGCCGCCACTTTCTTATTATTTTCTACTATAATATTGCTTGGATCTTTCAGACTGTCTTTGGGGCTGCGCTGTCCCGATTCCGGATTCGAAACAAAATTGGTATGGCTACCCTGTTCCTCACGCCTGATTTCTAGATGCACCGTCCCCTTCCGTGCATTAGTTTGGCTGCACTAGCCAGCCGGTATCTCGCATCCCGTAATGACCATTCGACTCAACTGTTATATAGTGGCAGTTATTGTTTGAATTAGACTTTTAAACAGCTCACTGACGTGGAAGTAGCTTTCGGTGAATTATCCCATATATGGACAATTCTGTCCCATGTTTGGCGCCCTTACTCGTCAATCGTAAATCTAACCTTTTTTATCTTAAGTGCAGTCTTTACCTTAATTTTGCGCTCATCTCTAAACTTCATGTGACATGTGTTTCAGCCGATAAAATTCTGACTCGTGGGTGCATAAATACAGTAAGGAAATAACATAGCTCCATCGATTTGCCTTTCAGAACTTATCTAGAAATTCCTATCTGCAGCACAGAAATGTGTAACCTACCCAGCGCAATAATTTCAGCTGTCTGGAACCACTTGGACGGCAGAGCATTCCTGGGGGCCATGAGCAAGCCATAGTATTTATGCATATTCCCCTTCTGATCCACCTCGGCCAAAACAACGGACCCAGGTCCTCCCAAACGTAATCGAGGCGACAGCTGGCACGCTGCACGAGCCAGGCTTTGACAAGTTCAATCTGATCGTGCGTCATTTCAACTGGGACGACCATATCGGTACCGGGCGATGGACGCAATACCGTAAAGTTTAATTCGCCCGCTGCTTTCAGTAGCCGGTCGTCTTGTGGTGGCATGGACATTGTGACGACAGAACGACTGGTCCTCTCCGAGTCCTTAGGAGGAGGATCAACGGACATCCACTGAGACTGTAAGTCAGAGCCGAGGATTTTACGTAATTTTCGAATAGATTCTGCGTTTGAGCTGGGTCGCAAATGAAGTAAAGCCACACTGTCGATTCGCTCACCCATAACGCGAACATCTACCCGAGCAAATTCTTGCGAATTCTCTGGTGGCCATGAGCGATCATCCTTGATTACACTGTGGGTATTTGCCATCGGAACGACCAGCGCGCCAGCAGGAGGCGAATTCTGAGGTCGAACAACAATCTGAGCCATGGGTAATGCAGACTCCTTCTGTGTGATGGACGCAACACCACTTGAGCTGCCTGGACGTGTGAACGACCGGGTGGTAATATCTGTAGGACTGATCTGATATGAAGATGCAGCCTCAGCAGCTTTCTGTCGCGTCAGGACGTCACTAACCCTCACGCTTACTTTGCGTGAATAATCTGCATCTGTACCTGCTGGCGGGGGAATTTTCTTCGGATTATTCCCCGTAGTTATCCGGGCAAAATGTGGTGTTGGGTAGAGCATAGATTGTGCGTCTAATAAGAGCACTACACAACATGTAAAAAGAGTTAATCCGATTAGATGTTGAGTAACATTCATTTTCGTGTCAGCTGAGTGATACAATTTCCACAGAGATTGGGCTTGTCAACCATAGAGGGGAAGTTAGATATGTGGCTTTGCAAGAGTTCACATTCATGAACCAGAAAATGAGACTGGGCTGACAGTGTATTCGACGGCGACTCGGTAATTCCGAATATGTGATTTCGACCTGTCCGCAGTATACATGTCTGTCTGTCGCTAGTTGGGCGTGGGCCAATGTGTGTTGATGCCACACGACCTGAACACCTAATTCTTGCCAGGCCTTCTGAATTTCCGGACTGGCATGGCTTAATGATGACAACTTAAGGAATTAAATCCACGTTCCATTGTCATTTCCCAAGTGGGCGCAAAAGGGAAAGACACAGATCCTCAGGTTCCCAAGAGTTGGACAATCAGATCATATTTTTGTCACGCAAAAATCCTACAGAGAGGAGGTAGGAGAGAGTTTTCCAAAATAGAAAAACAGAGTGAGCACATAATAGAACACCAAATATTTCACTCCTCGTCAGCATTGTCAATTTCTCATTTAGGGTGCACGGTGTAAATACGTAGAAGACGGAATGGCCATTGAGGAAATTAATCCTTCATAAAATTTATCTTGAACAAAACTAACTCATCCGTTTACATAACGGCGACTTGGTGATTTAGTTGGAATCAAAACTGGTTTTATTCCTCCTCGTTCCAGTAGAAAAAATTTACTGTTTGTTGTCGCAGTTGCCTTTTAGGACCACCCAGATTAGGTCACCATCACTTACTACTAACAACTTTGAATATTCATTGTTTTGGGACTAACGTCTGAGAATTCTGTGTCCCGGTGTTTGGCTGCTTCTGGTTGAATAGTACCGTAAAGATGGGAGCCACTGCTGTCTCTCACACTCAGTTCAACTTTTGCGATGAAGTCATGAACTGATCAGCTTACATCTTTTTACTATGAATTAGTTCGTATATGAAAGGTACGCGTAAATTCAAGCATGTGCATGGGTGAAGCATAACAGCAAACACAAGATTGCAATGAAACTTCGGTGCGCTGGGAAGACGGAGATCCACATGAAGATGTTTCTCGCTTAACTGGAAGTTTTCACAAATGAGGCACACAGAAAACAGTGTAAAGGTACGTCAAACTAAGTCTCCGTACGCTAACAATATTCAACCATTAGAATCTTAGGAGGCTACCTTGTTTGTCAAGTCAAAACACTGAAAACTGGGCCTAATATAACATACAGTTTTAACGTCATAAACGAAGGATTTTAGCTGGATTCCAGGTGAGTCCCTCGCAAAACCAGATTTGTTTGCAAATAAGTGTATTGCGCTAGTAGAGTTTTGAACTTTTTGACACGACCATAAAAATGGGTGAGCCTGCATCTCATTGAAGCACGGTGCTGGTGCCAAGTGTTATTAATTCAAAAAATTTCCCAAACTGACCTTCACCTGGAAATAGTCTCGAGTCGTGAGCGAGTTTCATCGACTGTGATGTTTTCACTATGGGCTTTTCCCTTAAAGTGCTCTGATTGTAGAAGCACAGACTAGAGCAAATGTGGTGACCAGAGATTTCGTTCACAAGATCTATCTAGGTATGGTCTAGGTGGCCTGAATATGGAAACAATAAAGTAATGTTGCTGTTATGCCGGTAGTTTGTAATGAGGACCACTTTATGTGTAGCCACTAACTTCATACGGTGACACTTGCTAAATAAAGTAGAGATCGTGATATCTTCACTAACCTACTAGTTCAGGCCAACAGTTCTGCGCACTTAGAAACCGACTGTCCAGTTTAAACTACACTGTTTCAGATATTGGTCCAAAATCCCCAAACTCTACACAAATCGTTGCAAGTACTGGCAAAAAACGTAGAAAAAATGAGGTATTCAATTAAGTGTGAATAAATACAAGCTTTTCAACCACAAATTGGGATGTTGACCACGGAATACCAACTATGTCAGATCCCGGAAACTTCTCCGGAAGAATTCCCTGGGTGCTTTAAAATTTTGATTAGAACAGTTAGTGCAACCAAGGTGATATCCATCGATATTTCTACTCAACGTAAATTTCAACGTTACTTTGCATTGCTATTCTTACTGGTTTCACTCAGAATAGGTTTTTTCCGCTTTAAGTTGTAAAACTAGCTTATAAGCTGATTGATGTTGTTGATCAGGAGAGCCTCGAAACCCTGCCAAGAAAACTAGCTAACAACTTCACTGGTGACAGTGAAGCTCCCAGTTCTGAAAAGTGATAGTTCTTTTGATTGCTTAATTGTATGCACCCCGAATGTTTTGTTTTTTAAGCACAATTTAACGGGTAGATGTTTAGGGAATACTTCAATTCGATACCTGCACAATAGCCAAGCTTGTTGATTCCAACTAAAGCTAAGCAGGATTGGCCTATTAGTTCTCACTTCAAACTTTGTTTCAGTCGCTTGCAGGCTGCCTGGCGAAAACGGGGTATTTCCTCAGATCATGATTAGTTGCACTCATGAGAGGCCGCCTTAAGAATAATTCTTTGAAAAGACACTGGCAAATAATTATCCGGGAGGCATTGTTCGGCTGAAACTTACCCTATTTTGCCGCTTACAAAAAAGGGGTTCTGGACAACGACTTTCAAAGTTGATCACATTCACTTTCTGTGTCATCCCCTGCGACTGTATCAGCCGCGCAACCTTTAAATTAATTGATCACATTTAACCTGTGACAAAAGGTTCAAAAAATCATTTGAGACCTTTCTTTAGCCATTCCATTCACTGCTCAGTGGTTCTGATACATTTTCTGCAGAAAGTGAGCAATCACTCTACATCTAAAAGCTAATATTCCCGTGACTCCCTTAGAGCAAGATTTAGGAAGATCTTCGTTTTCTTATCTTCTGATTGAAGTAGTTAAACATAGAAGCAGTGATTAAAGATGGCAGATTCACTGGCTTTACACGGATAGCCCTACGGAGCATAAACACATGCTTATGAAAGAAGCTTACAATCACGTCTCTTTAATATTCTGATTTCTCCAAAAAAGGGATCTATAATTAAATTTCACTGACTTAATTAACAAGTATAGTATTCAACGGCATCCGAAAAAAGCCGAAAGATATTCACAGCTTTGGAAGTTTCATCGTAAAAATTTCGCAACTTGTAAAATTGTATTTGCGTTTGCATTGGATCCTACGCATCCTCCTTAGGAAGACATTAAATCCTCCTGATAGTCATCGTCCTCTAGAACCACACCCCCACATCTGGGTTACAGTGTTCGGGTGAAAGTCCAAAGAATAATCGGAAGCCTACCTAATCAGATGTGTTCTGTCTTCACAGAACAATGTAAAGACATTTATTCCCACGGCATTTGATGTAAGGTGAATGGCATATCAGTTTCAGAAGTGGTGAGAGTGTCACAGCAGGTTCTGACCTGGAAATTCGTGTCACTATAAGACAGCTAGGTCGGGACGCCTGCTGAGATACTCCGCGGGACTTACAGCCCTCGTGTTTGTAAAGAAGCTTGCAGGAAGGTTTACGCAGGACCACCGTGACTTTTTGTTCTGATTTAACCAAGAACCGACGAGTTTTCTTTAGGTCAGTAAATAATCAAAACCTGTTCATAAACGGGGGGCCGAATTTTTGTTTAACTCAAGTCCTATCTAACAGTTTGTACAATATTTCCGAAGAAATTTCCCCCTAACTCTTGAGGGATAGTCTAACTTAATTCATAATTCTCAAGTACCAACTTGAGATTTTCTTCGCTCAGTGCACTATAGTCGATAAGAATAGTGCATTCGAGGTTTCTGGTTGAAATTTGTTGGTATCAGGTTTCAGGTTGGCTGAGACAAAATGAGGTCTTGTGGTCATGCAGGAAAATTTTATTTGATTACTATACGTTGTTCTGTCCTAAGCACCTATACAAGAAACCCGGATTTTCCACCCAGCAAACAATTGTTAATATCTCAAGGACTGTTTGGCAAACAGATCACTAGCCAGTTTGTCAACAATCAATAAACGTTCTCAAGCATACTGATCACTGATTCGTTTATTACTGCAGACAGGACTGTACGTAAATCAAGTTCTACCGTTTAGGTTAATACATTGCCACAGTAATCAGGAGCTTCCCGTTTTATCATCTTTACCGAGAAAATAGTAACCTGGTTGTACTATCTTTTCGGAAAGAAAACCTTGTTTGTTGAGATGCTCACAAGAGGTGTTCATTTTTCGTGGTTCAGATTACTCTGTTTGACAAATGATTTGCATATTGGATGTGATAGCTTCGTTAGTAGAAAAATGCTGGCATATAAAACGTAGTTGGTGGCTGTTGTCGCTGGGAGAATTCTTGAAATGGAAGGCCAAGTAGCCTGATTGAAGCTGAAAACAATCTTGCCCTGGGACAAGATAGGACGACTGCACTGTCAAATCCGGAGGAGACCATAGGATATTTAAACCGAGCATCCCGATTACACGTATCGAGCTGACATCAAGTGGACAAGAATTTATGACATGGGGCGCTTTGGTGAACCTGGAATAGTTAGGAATATTTTGCGGTTTAATGAGGATGAGGCTAATAGTCTCACCTAAAATGTTCCAAGTTTATGATTGGAGGTCCGGAGAGATTTAGGAAAGACCTACATCGAAACCATTCTCATTCACCTAGATTTTTACCTGTAGGTCTCTAAACAATGCACTTGTCTGATGAAACATGCTTTTAGTTGTGTGTTTGCGTGGAAATGATTTTGAGTGTTGTCTCAACTCCAGAAAGCTAGGTCAGACTGGCCAAACAGTGAAATTCGGGCTTTGTGAGGCTTCACTAAGTTTCTATCTCGATGTTCTACCACCCGGTTCAGAGACCCATGACACTCCAACATTTTGATGCTGTGGCCGTTTGAAGTCGATCATTCAAGTTTGAACTTTAAGAGCCGAACTTGTAATGCTTGGGTGTTTCCGGCTGTTACCCGTTGACCGTTCCCCGCCCGCCGTGTAACCTCACCGCCTCCGTGAACGATTAAAACACAGGCGCACCGTCACGCTGACAACCACCGGTCCCGTAGGGGTGACGTGGCTGGTGTACTTTGGTAGAAAGCAAGCGGTCAGAGGTCATGTACGAGTACGTCAAATTTGAACGACGGCAGGATGCTTTTCCATAGTTTATGC